TTGAATCAAAAATTTTATTTTTGTTTTTTACCAATAATTTGGATATTTTTCTCTATAATAATAGTACATAATGAACAATTATTTGTTCCATTGAATAATCATTTATCATAGGATTCTATTATCATTATTTGATATTGTGTTGTTAATTCATTCATTTTTGAAAACATACCGAAATTAATTAGTTTAATATGATACTAGATCATGAAAATAATCATTTATGATAACATAAATATTAATTATTCTACTTATAATATAAATAAGTGGATAAGATTATGGCATTTGAAGTGAACGGTACTGAGGTCCAGTCTCAGAGTGAATATGAACTCTACAGAGTAGGTACTTTCATTTGACGAGTTCCAATTAGGACGAATTGAATATCCTGGATTTCACTGCTAACCACTATCCATCTTTGCTTATAATGTTAGTGAATGAAAGCTATATCAAGACAATACACACAGTATACACATATACAAATATGAGACTAAGCAATTACAGTGCTAAACATCATTGAGAAGATTCAAACTAAGCAATACCAAGTGAATTTAAATTTCACCCCATTACACAAGAAAGTGACTTTCAAGATTCAGTAGTTATGTCTAAAATGTGATGCCATTTGAAGTGAACAGTACTGTGTTCGAATCTCAAATTCAACATCAAATTTGAGATGTAAGTACATCAAGCTGACGAGTCCGTAAATTCAAAAGGGGGAATCTTATCTATTAAAATAAAATAGCTGTCTCTAAATATGTCATTCATCAAATTTTCAACGTGCAATATGTGTACAGTAACAGATTTTCTTTACAAATGATGAAACTATATATGGATTGAATAAATAGTTGACAAATTCTAATAAAGAATGAATACCAAAGAGTTAATGAAATCAGAGTTCTGTCAAAAAAGTAACTTTTGGTGACACAAAATAGACTGTTTAAATTTATGAATAGAAATCGTTTTTGTTCGTTGAGATCATGTATCAATTGAGGCTAGAACATCATGGAAAACCTGAAAACACTGGACGACCGTTTCGTCCTATTGTGGCTATCCTCAGTAGTGCGAAGGACTTATCGGTTTGAATCTCGCGAAGCGGGATCGCGTATGCGCACTGCTGAATGGTCCCCGAAATAGGACGAGACGGCCATCCATAGCTTCCAAGTTTTCCATAGTGGTCTAGCTTTATTTGACTCATGAATTCAACCATAAAATTATTAAAATTTCCTCAAAGACCCTTCCAAAAATAATAATGTCTCTTCAATGCGCTCATTTTGATCTTATGTATATGTATATCATGGCGCGGAGACGTTGATGAAATTTAGATATAACTCTTAGGAAATGCTTAAAATCGCAAAAGTTGCTTATGGAGAAAGTCTACTGAATGAAAAAGATTTTTTTTCATGTATCTTATGTTTAAATGAAAGCTTTAAAGATTGTAAGAATGACTTAAGGCCATAACAACTTTCGATATACAATGGTCATGGAAACTATGAATATCTACAATCTATTGCACTACCTGACTGTCTATTCACAGTTTTCGTGGTTGTAGAAGAACAATACTTAGGGAGATCGTCGTCATTTGTGAGCTTACAATCGGACTGATGCATTGATGCTGAAATGTGAAATGAAAATATAACTGCCAGTACTACACTCTGAGGATCTCCAAAACTGTTTAAAATAAACGAAACAGAAATGAGACGAATATATTGTCGTAAACAAGGATCAAAGCAAAGGAGACTAAGAATGACTTAACGGAATTTTATAAAATTAAGTCTGATAATCGCAGTATATAAATATTGAACAAACCATCATATACTTTATATATATATATTTCAAGACAAGAATGTCCAATACGAACGTCAAGAGAGTTCTGCAGCACAAATCTGAAACTTGGAGAATCACTTCATGCTTCGCAAAAGATACAGACATTTATAAACAGTAGACAAACCAGGTTGCAGCTGATGAGGAAATTAGGAAAAGACGTTCGAAGTGGATCGGACATACATTGAGGAGATCATCAAAATGCATCATGAGGCAAGCCCTAACTTCTTACTTTGAAATAAAAGAGAAAAGTGGAGTGCCTAATTACACAATACACCGGGAAATAGGAACAGATATGTGAAAGGATGAATAACAACTGGAAGTACCAGAAAGGATTGCACAGAGGTGGATTGAATGTAGAATGCGTTTGGGCGGCTAATGCTTCACCTCGAGGGGTACCAGGAGTAAGTAGGTAAGTCCATGTTTGTCAAGTCATAACAATGCTTTATGACAACATCCTTGAAACAATGTGTATAAATAAATGGATTGTTGATTGAGGATTAGCCAGTTGGAATTTGGTAATAGAGTCTCAGTTGATTCTGAAACAGCAGAAGTTCGTAGCATGAACGAACGTAAACCGCTGATTACATTACAATTTGCAAATCCAGAAACATTCGTCCATATATTTTAAATTTCGTAGTGGTATTCATACTATTTATATCATAATTGCTGCGAGGAATCAGTGGCAGCGAAGTCGCAAATGCTAAAGAAGTTAGTGTCAGTTGGTACAACTGATGAAAATAAAAAATTCAAATTCAGTGAGATTGATTCGACAAAATGTAGGTCAGTGATCCGCTCTGAGATCAGGAAGATTAAGACGATGGGTATGACATCTTGAAGGACAGTTTGACTGGTCAGCTGTTAGCCTTTAGCTGCTCACTATTTCCATAAACTTAATCAGGATATTGACATAAGTGGCTAAACTCCTAATAGGAACAAAAAACCAGAGCTTATCTGAAGAGATGGATAACAGAGAACTGTGATGTGGTAACACCAGATATTCTCAGGAATTGAGATCCAGTTTTATACGTCAGACTGACTGAGATAACTAGGGGAAATCCTTACCAACTTTACTCAATCGCCGGCCGGTCCAGTTCATGAAAGAGCATGAGTTCTAAAATTGCTGACACATCCTCTAAGTGTAAATTCATAATTGAGGATTGGTCTACATCATCATTTTCAATGATCATAGGAAGTTGAGTAGTTGCCGAAATTGGCCCCATCACGTGTTTTGTGATTCCTATCATCAATCCTGATGTGTCACTGTATAACGAGACTTCAACAGGGATTAAGAATTCTTGGTTACTTTCTGCTAATATACGTTGGTTGCAGATAAGTTGATTGACTGAAAGTTCAAAGCGTTTTGTTATGCATTTCTAAAGCCTCGGAGACGACACTTAGAATGCGCAGAACAGGTTTGTAATATAGAAAAAACGCTTTGCTTTAAGGCTTGTTTATGTGCAGGCAATCGAGGTGATTTGTAGCATTTCAGATGCTCATGATCTTTTGTAAATTAGTGGCATCCTTCTTAACATAGTAGTAAGTTAGTTACTCATCCAATCAAAATGAAACAGGTGACGCTACAACTTCCAGATGTTTTCGAGAAACAGCTGTGAAATTTTGATTGCATTAAATGTTTCCCAGAGTTTTCAAGTTCCTTTTTGACTTTTGTCTGGATCTTACCAACGCGTTGGCTTCCCGTTTCTCATTAACATATCGGTTGATAGGTTAAGCCCACATACTTTATTCTAGCATCTTGACAACTAATTCACCCATTCATCTTGAGTGACATTTTAACCTTGACATTTATTCACTTATCAATTCTGACTGTTTTCATATGGACGTATGTGTGTGTACACTTCTTATATTATTCATCACATGTTGTAACTTATTTTATCTGAATATAAACATTGATTAACGAATGATAAAAGCTAGTTGGCTGACCATCTTCAGTGCTTGTCAGTTTTGTTTTGCTCTCTTCTTTTCGCTTCATTCCTCTGATGATATACAGAGTGTGTATTTTTATAACAATAATTTATACGATCTAATTGAAATCAAATCATGACCTTACAAGTGCATGACATTAGATAATATTTATTATGATTTCTTCATACTTTGTTTTGAAAGATGCGTCAATTATTCAGGGCCCATTAAATTGCCATACTGCTCTGCGTGTTTCTTTGGACAGTACCAGAGCAACGTAATGAGTGAGTAGGGCATTTTAGTCATTTTGACCATAGTACAGTAGCATCTCCCTTATAACCAACCTATTCAGGTTGAACTGTGTTAGCTAATATCGAGCAATACCAGGTTGCATTTCCTCAATTCCGTAATTATTGACTTGTCCTACCGGACTCCTACATCTTCTCGGGATTCGCTGTACCAACATTGAATAATCGTTGCTCTGCTTGTTAGGGGGCGAGTCAGTCTTGTAAATTTCGACGCTTCTCGACCAACAACAATAAGCTGCACGTTACTTTGAAGTTGTTTTCAACAGGATTGGACTGCTGGCTTCATATCATTCTCTCCACATTCATCCGCATGTCTCGTTGGCCACAACCTTACAAGAGCTGCAGGAATGACTGAAATAAAAATTAATGTGAAATATCCAGTCAACATAGCTTTGTGTATACTACAATTAAACAGGCTTTCTCAAATAAAAAATTAAGCACATGTTTGTAAAACATTTATTGAAAACGCAGTTGAACGTGATAAAACATTCCATTGATTATTTCTATACCGAACGCCTGTTCGACTATTGAGAATCAAAATAATCTTGTGAATTCTAAAATGCAAAGATAAAAGGGTTACTAAATCTGAATGGCTGTTTTTCGCACAACTAGCTTATTAAAGCTGAACTCACAGTTACGCTTGTTAACACTGAATACTCTATCTATAGAGCAGTACGCACATACGTGCTACATCTTCGTTTGATTACACATTTTTACCTTGTGTTCGATGTCGAGTAAATACCTTTGCGTCGTAGTGTCAGATGTTTGCACGAATGAACTGCTATACTCCTTGTTATATCCTTGATCTGTCTACCCACTTTCATGCCGAGAATAACTTGTCTAATGTGGATTAAGAGACTGTTGCCGTAGGCTAACTTGATCAACCCTGAGGCTAGTATGCGTGAGTTGGAAGCGGGGTAGAGAGGAGAAAACCATTCTTTCATCTGATTGAATAAC